TTTTCCCACTATGCATGCTCTGTTACATTTTACTATCCACTGACACCTTTTTTTAATCTACATATCACATCCTGTAATTGTTTTGTTATTTCTATATCAAGCCAACGTTTGAAATTCCATTTTTATCTTATATCCATCCACTTATCTTATATCCATCCACACACTCAAAGTTCATCATTCAGATTACATTAATCATTTCAAATGAAATGACTTGCAGGGTCGGATATTAGTCTTCGCGGTGGAAGATGGAAAACTACAGCTGATTGCTGAGAAGGAAACTAAAGGAGCTGTTTACTCTCTTAATGCCTTCAACGGGAAACTTCTCGCGGCTATTAATCAGAAGATCCAGCTGTACAAGTGGATGCTCCGGGACGATGGATCTCGTGAGCTGCAATCTGAATGTGGACATCACGGGCACATACTTGCTCTTTATGTACAAACGAGGGGTGATTTCATTGTCGTTGGTGATCTGATGAAATCAATTTCTTTGCTGATTTACAAGGTTAGCTTTTCCACAACTCCTTAAGTTTTAGCATGTTTGTAAGTTGAATCACAAAGTTACATAAAAAAAATCACTTTAAAGAACTTAATCTTGAAATTTCAAATGACAAAAAAAATTACCGAAAAAATGTTGAAGGCCCTAAAAATACTACATATTACTAAAATTTTTTAAAAAACCTGAAAAGAAATACCTAAAATCTGAAACACTATAACTAAAAGAAATAACAACCTGGAAGAATACCTCAGAATTGAAACACTGAATTTTGGGCTGTCTTGTGTAGCCTTAATTAAGTAACTGCAATTTTACAAATGGAAACATCGGTAATGATGTATGTCGAGAAAATTCATGTGTTATGAGGTGTTTGTTATACATAAAACAGAAAACTTAGGGCGCGATTGGATATGAATCCAACATGTTTTGACCGGTTTTGTCTGGTTAAAGTGGGTTATTTTGAATAAAGTAGATTTTGGATGGATGATTTCGAGTTTGAAATTAAATAATCTTTGAAATATAATGATTAAGTCGATCTGATGTAAAAGTAGGAGATAGATTATTGGAAATGGTCGGCAATCAAAATTATGTGTGTGGATATGTGTGATGATGATTGATTGTTATTTAATTATATTTATAAAAAGTAGGAGAGTGAGATTTTGAGTTAGATGATTGATATGAAATAAGCCAACCTATCATAACACATAACCGATTAAAATTGGTTATAACTCATATCCAATCACGCCCTCTTGAATTTTCTTTTAAGATTACACATAATTAGAAAGAACTGAAGAATCTCTGTTTGTGTTAAATATTCCCAATCTACGTCTCTGTTTCTGAAATTTTAAATGATACAGAAAAATTACCAAAAATGTTGAAGACCCTAAAAAGCCTACGTATAACTAACAGTTTTAAGGAAACTGAAAGAAATACCTTGTAATCTGAAAAAACTGAAACACCCTAGGAATAAAATAACTAAAAAGAACTCAAAACCTAGAAGAAATACGTTAGAGCTGAAAAACTGAATTCTGGGCTCTCTTGTGTAGCCTTAATTGAAAAAAATTGCAATTTTACAAATCGCGACATCAGTAATGTTATATGTCGAGAAAATTCATAGCTTATGAGGTGTTTGTCATATACATAAGCTGGAAAACTTTTTAATTTTCTTTCAAGATGACGTAGAATTAGGAAGAACTGAAGTAAACTAGGAGAGTGGGATTTTGAGTTAGATGATTGAATATGAAATAAGCCAACCGATCATAACCGGTTGAGAAAAATGCAATTTACAAATCGCAACATCAGTAATGTTATATGTCGAGAAAATTCATAACTTATGTTCGTCATACACATAAACCGGAGAATTTTTGAATTTTCTTTCAAGATTACGCATAATTAGGAGAGTAGGAATTTGAGTTAGATGATTGAATATGAAATAAGCCAACGGATCATAACCGACTAAAACCGGTTATAACTCATGTCCAATCACGCCCTTAATTTTCTTTCAAGATTACACATAATTATAAAGAACTGAAAGAATACTCTGTTTGTGTTCAATACTCCCAATCTACGCCTTCTTTCTTTATTCTGCATTCCCCCCGAAAAAAACTTGCCTTAAAATAATTTTTCCTGTTCAGCACGAGGAGGGGGCTATCGAGGAGCGGGCCCGCGACTACAACGCCAACTGGATGTCGGCCGTCGAGATTCTTGACGACGACACGTACCTCGGTGCAGAGAACAACTACAACCTCTTCACTGTCCGCAAGAACAGCGAGGGGGCCACTGACGAGGAGCGGGCCCGCCTCGAGGTCTCCGGCGAGTACCACCTCGGCGAGTTTGTGAACCGATTCCGGCACGGGTCCCTCGTGATGCGGCTTCCGGACTCTGACTCGGCCCAAATCCCGACCGTGATCTTCGGCACGGTTAACGGGGTGATAGGGGTGGTGGCTTCCCTCCCGCACGACCAGTACACGTTTCTCGATCGGCTGCAGTCGAGCCTGAGGCGGGTGATCAAGGGGGTCGGGGGACTGAGCCACGAGCAGTGGAGGTCTTTCTACAACGAGAAAAAAACGGTGGATGCGAAGAATTTTCTTGACGGGGATTTGATCGAGTCTTTTCTTGATCTCAGCAGGAGCCGAATGGAGGAGGTCTCGGCAGCCATGGCCGTGCCGGTGGAGGAGCTCATGAAGAGGGTGGAGGAGCTGACTAGGCTGCACTGAGTGAGTGTGTGTGTTTCTTGTTGTGTCTATGGATAAGAGAATGTGAGCACATTTTTATTTTATTTTTATTTTTTAAAATATCAGCCTTTGCTTTTTTTTTTTTTTTTTTTTTTTTTTTTTTTTTTTTTTTTTAAAAAAAAAAGAAAAACTTTGTGGTTCGTCTTGGGACAATGTTTGTTTTACATGTAGAATGTGTCTATAACATAAATATGCGAGAGTTCGTGTAAGCCAATTTCGTTTTGTTTGCTTATCTGAATGGTAATTTTGCACACAAGGCCCAAGGAAAAATGCAATTTTTATTATTGTCAATTCAGAACACTTTTTTTTTTAGAATACTATGTAGTACTGACAACTGAATTAGTCAAATGAGGAGTGAAACTGGTGTTTGATTTATTTATTTTATTTTTTAAGAAAAAATCTTCTCCTCCAATTTCTGCATATTTTTCTAATTTTGGCAAGTAAAAAACACAATTTTTTATTTATTTATTTTTTAATTGTTTTTGCAGATTAGGCCTGGACCAAGAAATGGAGAATGTCGCCTTTTTTTTTTTTCGAAACGATAAATATATTAATAACTGAAAAACTCAAATGAGTACAATAGGAGTCTCAATTGACACAAAGGAATTAGAAAATGGACGTACCCTCTCGAAAGCACATCAATGTTCGAGAGGTACAATCTCCATCAAGGAGTCACCCGCGCACACAAAAACCAACCTCCATAAAGAGACTAGAACTCCATAAAGGAGACTAGAAGCCAAACGTAGCTGGACTTTACCGAACTAAACAAACTAAAAGATAAAAACACACACCTAATATACACAACTAGAGTAAAACCTCCCCTAGCCGAACAAACAAACCACACAACCACCTAAACTACCAACCGAGACGCACCCACAATACCAAACCCCAAACGAATAACAGATCTAGACTCCATACTCGAAAATTGCGGACACTCAAATCGCCTAGTCGAATAATCATTCCGGATATGAACCCGAAGTAGCTCGGCACTAGAGAAAGATGGGGAAGCCGCCAAGATAAGTCCGGAGGCCTCGAAGCAAAGACCCGAGGAGGCACCGGCCTGACCTGGTCAGGCAAACCGGCGGACAGCCTGCAGCTGGGACCACTTACCACCAAGTCGCAAACCGACACTCCTACAAGGTGAAAAGGTGACGCACGCAAGGCAGAGCACCGGCATCTCGACGGACTATCGTCGTTGGGCGGAGGCGGAAGCTGAACAAGCAATCGACAACCACCAGAGCTAGGATAAAAAAGGCGAGGAGACGATAACCGTCGCCGACCTAATTCCCACCGGGCTCCTAGAGGGGCAGAGAATATGGCCCCACCTGCCCCCGCGACTCGGTCAAGCCAGAGAATGCCGCTTTCACTATATACAAACTAAATGAAAAAATAAATAAAAATCAACCGGACAATTATGTTTAAAAAAAAAAAACCTCTTCGCCACACAGTTTGATAAAATTTAATTATGGAGAAATAGGGAAATGTTAAAGACCCGTTACGGAAATATTTCGTCGAGTTTGTATCATTTGGTCGAGTTTATAACTCTTAGATCATCGTGTAACCGTAAGAGATAATTGATCTAACAGTTACCAACCTCCACGGAAATGGTTCGGAGTAACGTTTATCGGACTTCCAAATGCAAAACATTAACATAGGCTTCTTCAATTCAAATCTCCATCTTCGACCCTTTTTTCTCCCTCGCCGCCGCCACCACCACCAAAAATTTCCCGACCTCCCTCCTCGCCGTTGATCACACAATTTCTGTAGGGTCTTTTCAATAAAGCCCTAATTTTCTCAAAATCTCACAATCAACCATGGCAGCCAAAACCCTTGCTCTCACATCTCCCTGCCTGGGCAAAACCAACAGTTTTGCTTCGCCGCCGTCCCACATCAACACCGTCCGCTTCGTCAAAGCAAACCCCCACATCAAAACCAAAACCACCCAATTGAAATCATCCACAAATGCACCACCAGAGAAAATGGAGTGGGACCCCCAAACCCGCGTCGAGATCCTATCGGAGGCCCTCCCCTACATTCAAAAGTTCCGGGGCAAGACCATAGTGGTCAAATACGGCGGGGCCGCCATGAAGTCGGAGTCCCTCCGTGCCTCGGTGGTGGCCGACATCGTCCTCCTCGCTTGCGTGGGCCTCCGCATCGTGCTTGTCCATGGAGGCGGGCCCGAGATCAACCAGTGGCTGACTCGTCTGGGCATCGAGCCCAACTTCCTCGACGGGCTGCGCGTGACAGACGCGTCCACCATGGAGATCGTGTCCATGGTCCTGGTCGGGAAGGTTAACAAGGGCCTGGTTGCCATGATCAACCAGGCCGGGGCCACGGCGGTTGGGCTGTCGGGGATTGACGGCCGGCTCCTGACGGCTCGACCCTCTGCGCGGCGGCTGGGGTTCGTCGGTGACGTGGCGGGGGTGGACCCCACAGTGATCCGGCCGCTGGTGGAGTCGGGCCACATCCCCGTGGTGGCGTCGGTGGCGGCAGACAGCGGCGGGCAGCCTTACAACATCAATGCGGACACGGCGGCGGGGGAGCTGGCGGCGGCGCTAGGGGCGGAGAAGCTCATACTGCTGACAGACGTGGCGGGGATACTGGAGGACCGGGAGGACCCGAGCAGCCTGGTGAAGGAGATTGATATCAAGGGGGTGAAGAGGATGATTGAGGAAGGGAAGGTGGGAGGGGGAATGATACCAAAGGTTAACTGCTGCATTAGGTCTTTGGCTCAGGGGGTCACCACCGCCAGTATTATAGACGGACGACTCAAGCATTCACTGCTTCTCGAGATCCTCACTGGCCAGGGGGCTGGGACTATGATAACCGGCTGAATCTGCTGTTCTAAGTTCTCCATTTTGCTTCTTTTCATGTTGTAATGGATTTTGAAAATGATTTCATTAGGATCCTCTTATGTGACCAAATAGATATCCCTTCCATTCCTAGAGATTGTCTTTGTTGTTCTTTAATTTCACTGTGAGTGTTCGATTCATTTTTATCTTCATTTCATAAGGAATTATTGTTTTCCATGAATGAGTCAATGACGGCTCATATCAGATTTCTATTCTCATTCTGATATCGATTTAGTAATTTTACTTTTAGGTGAGCTGTGCTGTTTTGTTGTTTTCATTTTGGGTATAATGTGGGTTTCCCTGCCTAACCTCTGTACAATTTAACTTGTGAAAATGGGGAGTTCATTATATACTGTTGGATATAACTTCATGAAACAGTAAATGGAAAACATTGAACATTGAACTTCTTCTCTCAACGATTTGAAATAATCGTTTGTCATCCAGTCCATACACTCGTGTGCTGTAAACTTGTAATAATGATAAGACTTCCAACTTGGTTTTATTTTGCAGGTCTGCTTTCTATTTTTATGTCGGTGAGGTGGTTGTCCAGGTTTGTTTCTCTTCTACTCTTTTTGCACTTCGCAATGTATGCATTCATTTGCAATATGTATATGCCAAAATTTTAAGAAAATAGTTAATCCTCCTAAATAAAAGCTGTCTTCAGCTTTTAGCTGTTGCAATCTCCTTTTTCAGTTGTCGGCTGTTGATTTGCGTTTTGGGTCTCTTGCTGCCACCTGTCACAAATTCTGAGAATGACAGAAGGGTTTTCATTTTTCGGTTCAAACATGAGTTGATTTGAACCAGTTGATGAAATAGAAACAGAGATGAATTTAATCCAATATCTACAGCCTATTTGAATTGGCCGCTTGAAATTTGAATGATTCCATCCCAACTTCTAGGCTGTCAGGTTGCATCATTGTCTAAATTGGATATTTTTTATGCCCATTTAAATGTGTTTCTTAATCTTCTTTTCATTTCTTTTAACTTTGCTGTTATTACCCCTTTTTTTCTGTAGGTTTTATTGGTGTCCTCTTGCTTGTATATATCCCTGATTTGGATCCTTATCCAGATCAAGAATATTCGTCCTTGCAAGCCTAGCGGGAGGATGATATTATCTATGAAGAACTTCCTGGAGGGGAGCAAGTATATCCTGAGAGGCACGGAAATATATTCTCTAGTAAGTAATCAAGCTTGGATGTCTAGAAATCTGTTGAGTTTATATAAATCTCTTTGCTACTCATTTAAGCAGAATAGTTTTCTGTTTTGTTGTTACAACAGTTTCCTCCAACTAATAATTGGTTTTACATGCTTGGTATGTAGAAATCAATTTCTCATGGATGAATCCCATCATGCAGCCGGGATATAGAAAGCCTCTTATGGAAAAGGATGTCTGGAAACTTGACACTTGGGATAGAACAGAAACACTTAATGACTCGTACGCGCTTGTATAAAAATCTATGCATGAGAACTTCTTAATACTGTTTCTCCGAGAAGCATCTAGTTATATAGAAAATAATAAGAGATTTGGAATTTTTGGTTAGATTCCGAAAATTTTGGGCTCAGTAAATTCAGAAACCCGGACCTTGGCTTTTAAGAGCTTTATATCGTAGCCTTGGTGGAAGGTAGTTTTGAAATTCTCTTGGTGCCTTTTGGTGTATATATTTCAATCAATTATTGACGTTGCTTTGTTTGATATAATCCAAAACGCTCGTGTTTTCATTCTTGCTTCTTTGTTTTTTCCTGACGGCTTTCTCAGATTTTGGGGGGAGGCTTCTGGAAGGTAATGTAGAGATTTCGGCTTCTCTTATCGACATTTGTATTGTTTAGCAGGGACACTATTAGATGTCGAAATGCGTTGCATCCTTAACATTTGTATTTATTATTTGAGCCCTTACTCCCTTTTCTATAAGGTTATTATGGATCTTTACAAATCTTTTGTTATTTTCATTTTTTTTTTCTGAAAAATATATGAAATTCTTGAAATGCCCTAAAAAATCAGTTCTTTTTTAGTCAAAACTTCTATTTCTGGTTTAAGGTGCAATTTGACAAACCCGTATAGTGCATGTGGTGGTTTGTAAAAATAAAAATATATATGGTGATGCGCAAAAATCGTTATACTTCGAATGGCAAAAAGTTTTTGTTTTCCTTTTACAAATTGCACTATTTGCTTCCGCAAACAGGGTGATTGAAATGAAATGCATGAATGGCTATTTTTTATTCTGATAGATAACCGATTCATTACTGTCCTTAAGCTAAACATGAGCGATAATTCGGAATTGTGTTATGTGGCTGGTGAGAAATTTTGTTTTGAAACATCCATGCAAAAGTTATACTATGGTCAATACTGGATACGTCCAAGCCTGACATATCTTGACTACTACTAGTGTTGTTAAATTAAACGAGTCTGGCTCGGCTCGGCTCGTTGAGGCTCGAGTTCGAGGCCTTAACGAGCCGAGCCGATAAGGCTCGAAAATAGAATTTTTATATAATTTTTATAGTTCGGCTCGTTAAAGCTCGAGATCGGCTCGAGGTCGAGGCCTTAACGAGCTCGAGCTCGAGCTCGAGGCCTTAACGAGCTCGAGCTCGAGCTCGAACACCCTAAGCTCGAGCTCGGCTCGGCTCGTTTACAGCCCTAGCTACTACTATGGGTGAAGGCTCTTTTGTTCTACAATGCCCTCGAAACATGTTAAAAGGCTATTTGCTAATTCGACCTTTTTTATTTGCCCGTATATATATTCATGAGCATGGTTTATGCCATCCAGGTCTTGCAGTCATGAGTAGATTTGCCATAAACGGGCTTCACCATACCGACAATTTTCAAGATAGAAAGATCGACTGGGACCATCTCAATTGTCAAGATAGAAAGATCGACTGGGACCATGTTGAGATGTAAATGAAGATATGGTTTTCTGTACTTGTGTTAGTTATAAGGAGTGTACCTTCAAAAACCAAAGGATTAGCAGATATGAGTTTTGTTAACAATTCCTCTCGATATTTGATATATATATATATATATATATTTTTTTTTTTTTGATACCGAGGTTCCAGGCTTGCGCCCGACTATTCCTCGATGAAACAGCCCCCGGCCACTCAGAAACTGTCTCCAACTAAATCGCGGTAGCCACGCAATGGCTCCCGGGTTCTTAACACACTCAACTACCGCGCACAAAGAGTCGATCTTCAAGTGATTGCTTGCTGACCCTCTCAGCTCTAAGTTGGCCCCACCTATCCAGCCGCAGGGTCCCACCGAAGTGGTTGCTTCATGCTGGCCCCCCAACTTCATGCTGGCCTCACCTATTCGGCCGCTGGTTCCCACCGAGTTTGAGCCTCCCACACACTTATAGCCCTCAGTATTCATTTTTTTCTTTATGTTTTGATGATGTGACTTGATTTTGTTAGTTTACTAAAAGGAGCAGCAAAGTCTACTACGGTCCTACACTTGCTTGTTGGTGGGGGCGCAGATTCAATTTTCATTTATTTCTTTGGTTTTTGTATGGATTGCAATTAAATATTAGAATGTCTTGGCACGTGCGTTCACGTGCGTCCTTTTGCTACCATATCTATATATATATATAATTGATGGCTCAGTCTCTCAGGAGCATTTAATAAAACCTATTAAATTATATCTATGTGGCAATATAATTTTTTCCCTTAAAAAACCGTTACTTTTTATTTATTTAACCTCTCATTTAATTATTAGATAATCAACACGCTAATCACTTTAAAATTACAAAAATTATTTAAAATTTTTGATTTACTTAGAGTTGACCATATAATGTGTTGACTATTTAACGTGACTAGATGTTATTGTTGTGGTTATGTTTCAATTAACTTCTTTTGGAGAATAAAAAATATATTTGAAATTCCTAAACAAATAATAAATAATTCACAAAAAAAAAAAAAAAAAAATCAGCTCCTTTAATTGTAAATTTGGCAAAAAATCATTAACCATTATATGCATATGAATAACTCACAATATTTTATTTATATATCTGTGCAAATGTACAGGTCGAATACTAGTGTGATGTAAAGGTATGATCTAAATTATTAGACGTAACGTGTGATTAAAATTATGTGAATGGATAATTAGTGAAATTATATAAGTAGATGAATAGTGCATTAATGTTAATATGATGTATGAAGATGATTGATTGCTATAATTAAATTATGTTGATAATATTAAATAAATGTGAATTGAGTTAGATCTGAGTTAAATTTTAAGTTAAAATAAATATTTTGATGCTTTGTATCCAATCATCATTCCTTGGTGTTTCAACTTAATCAATGTTTGTATCTAATGTTCGCTAACCAATTAAATCCATAGCGGTAAGACCAACCAAACAAATATTAATGTATCACCTATTTGACCGTCAACAATTAAACTCTTAACTAATTAAAATAAAAATAATCATAGTATTTATTACTTCATAAAATGGTGTAATCATTTTTTTTTTAATCGATAATTATATTAATAACGTAAAAAATTCAAAAGAGTACAATCAAATTGTCAAATACACATTGGAACCAGAAGAGTGGACCAACCCTCATTATTATCACACACAAGGGGTACAAACTTCATCAAGGAGACGAACAATCATAAAACAGAACTCCAAAACAGAGACACTAACTCCATATAGGAGAGAAATGCAGACAAAGCTGCACTAAACGAACAAAAACCACAAGGAAAAAAAAAGTCACACCTAATTAATAAAATAAAGCCCTCCTCGGCCACCGTCAAACTACACATACACTACAACTTCACGAGCCAACAAATCGAAAAAATCTACATAGAAGAGCTTGTCCTTATCCAAGAATACCAGTTTAAAAATTCCGCACTCCAAATCGACTACGACTAATCCAAAAATACTAGTCCAAAAACTCCGCACTCCAAATCGGCTACGACTATTCAGACAATAATATCTATGTAATTTGAATCATAAGTTACGATAAAAACCTCTATAATTTTGAATTTGATTTTGTTATTGACATTAATTTGACTTTAGAAAATTTTTGAAATTTTCTTTTATTGGTGTTTAGAGTCTTATTTATGGCTTCTTTAGTTTTTGATTAAATTTATAAATGGATAAACCAAAAATCTTAATGAACCAAACATCTTGCAATTAATAAAGTAAGTTGAAAATCCAAATAAAAAAACTTTGGCATAATAAATGAATGAATAATACCTATCCACCTCTTAATGCTTTACGTAGCTTTTCAAATAAGTAAGTTGAATTTTTTATTTCAGCTATCTTATCAATTAATTTTATCAAACATTTTTACCATATAACCTAACTTTTCAGCTATAAATCATAAGTTATAAGTTATAAACTCGAAAATCACTGATAAGCTATAAACTAGTTTATCAAATAATTTTACCAAACATAACCTTAATGAACCCAACGATGTGCAATCAATAAAATAAGTTGAAAAACCAAATTAAAAAAAAAAAACAAAATAATATTACACTTTCGCATAATAAATGAATGAATAATATCTATCCACCTCCTAATTTATTTTTTAGCATTTTTTTAGCATCGCTAAGCAATGACGTAGCCGAAGACCAAAAACCCATAATTATTTTTCCCTTTCATCTTTGCCCAACAACTCATGACTTATTATAAAGGTGCCATTTTTTTTCCTCTGGTCCACGAAAACGGAAACGTATTTAAGAAATACGTCTTATATTTTAATACAATTAAAAAAAAAAATTGAAAACGTATTTATAAAATATGTTGTAAAGTTGATTAATTTACTTAATTAAGATAATTAGTGAAGACGTATTCAAGGAATACGTTTTCATTGCAAAATTTATATAAGCCGTGTTCAAGGAATACGTCTTCTAAATAATTTATGTAAAAAACGTATTCCTTGAATACGTGTGTTTTATTTTGTTCCACACCTTTTTTTCTTTTTTTTTTTTCCACTTTTTTTTTTTTTTTTTTTTTTTGGTAAAAAATTCTAATTATCTTCCCTATTCATCTTTGCCCAACAACTCATGACTTATTATAAAGGTGCCATTTTTTTTTTTTTCCTCTGGTCCACGAAAATGGTAGTATAAAGATTCCATATTCGCAGAGGCCCACCAGCTCCAATCACACATATCAGATCATTTCAAAAAGTTCCTAACCCTATCACACTAAAAAGGAAGGGACTTCCATTGATTGGCTCACTTTTCATGGAGACCTGAGCTGAGCCCTCTATAAAAGCCTACATTTTTGGCTTAGTTCTTTTGGTTCCTTGGCTCTGGTATTTTGCAATCATTTATTGTTTCTTGTATTTTTGTGTGTAAATTGATTTTGTTCTGTTCTATATATATGCAAAAATTTCTTCTTGACGTGGGGATTTTGTTTTTCAATGTTTGAGATATTGATGGGTTTGGTTTATATTCTTAGGTTTTTTTTTTTTTTTTTTTTTTTTTTTTTTTTTTTTTTTTTTTTTTTTTCCCATTGATTGATGATATTGGTCGGTTCTCCAACTTTTTTAGTTTAGAGATTAGACATTAGTCGTGTTAAAGACGAGGGTTTAAGACAAATCACGACGATGAAGGATGTAGCTGTTTGGATGATGTGAAGATTTCCATGTGGTCATGAAAAAAGAATGAACTTTGATGTTGGCTTTCTTTAGCTTTGGTTAATATTGAAAGGAAAATCTGTTAGCTGCTTATTTAGTTCATTTCAGGCATGTGGGCTATGGGGATTTTCACTTCAAGATAGCTGCTGTTGTCGGTCGTCGGCTTAAGTTTTATTTTGTAGGAAACTAAACACACACACACACACACACAATGTCATCGTTTTCCATTTTCATTTTAATTCGTTAGATGGAGAAAACATATTCACATTTCGTTTTTCATATGCACGCGCACAAATAGAGTAATATAATTCACTATGTTAATGTAGGATAAATAGAATACTCGCTTTATCTGTTTCTATAATTAAGTTTGCTGCTAATAATGATTATGTATTCTGGATGACATTGAGTTGAATTTTTGCAGGAAGGAAAAAAATTTAATCTCATTCTCCAGGAGACAATTGAACTATGTTTTTGTAGATTGAAGTAGTGGTGGGTGATTAGATTGGTTTAGAATGGCATTCAAGCCATTTGAGTGGTATTGTAAGCCGGTCAAAGATGGAGTTTGGTCAAAAGCTGTGGAAAATGCATTCGGAGCTTACACTCCCTGTGCCACAGACTCTCTGGTTATCGTGGTTTCACATCTGGTTCTTCTGGGGTTGTGTTTAAATCGGCTATGGAAATTGAAGAACGATTTTTCCATTCAGAGGTTCCGCCTAAGATCAAATTATTACAACTATGTGCTGGGGTTGTTGGCTTTATATAGCACAGGAGAACCTTTGTTCAGGTTGATCATGGGATTTTCAGCATTTAATGTAGACGGTCAGCAGGGTCTTGCCCCTTATGAGGTGGAGTGCTCTCATCTCATATCCTTACTGTAATTTTATGGTCCACTGTTCAATGTCTCTCGATATGTTATTTCTCGTCTCTTTATTTTCTATTTCGTAAAAGAATTTAGTTCTTAGGCTATCAACTTGCTATAATTTGAATTATAATGTTGGGTGTTACTTATCTAGACATGACGGGTACCAAGTTCCCATGAATCTGACTTCGGCTATATTTGGTAACCAAATAAGCTAGTTTATAGCATATTTGGTCAGCTTATAAGCTCCTTGTATTCAAATAAGTTTTGTAGCTTTTTTAAAGTGCTCGAGCTTATCTGATAAGCTTCTTTGGGTAGTTGTTCGTAGAAGCTCATTGAAATTTTTATTTAAGCTAGCTTATTAACTAATTTTATCAAACACTTTTACCATATAATCTTGCTTTTCTGCTATAAGTTATATAAGCTATAAGCTCGAAAATCACTTATAAGCTATAAGCTAGCTTATGAGCTATCAGCTAGTTTTACCAAACGTAGCCTTAAGTGTTCTAGACACAATGGATATTGAGTTCCCATGAATTTGACTACTGAATTTTATGTTTCATGCTGAAAAAGAAACTGATGAATGAGGCACGAATGAAAGTGAAAAAGTGGCTCATCCCATTCGCCTATCTGTGAAATTCTATTAGACTATAATATTGATACAATTATTCACATGATGAAAGTTTATCTCTTGCATTTGTTTGCTGAATACAATATGTCATTTAGTTCAAGTTGAGCTCATGAAACTTTGCTGCTGACAAAAGTGTTCTTTCTGTTTCATTTTTGTTGTAGATGGCTTCCCTTGTCATTGAAGCTGTAACATGGGGCTCGATTCTTCTGATGATCGGAATAGAGACAAAAGTTTATGTTCGTGAATCACGTTGGTCCGTCAGATTTGGTGTTATATATGCTCTTGTTGGGGATGCCGTTATGGTGAATCTTGCTCTTACTGTCAGAGAATTTATCAACTGGTTAGTTCCCGTAATATGGCTTGCATGGATCTTATTGTAGTTAACCCCATGAGATGGTAAACAAAAAAACATAAACTTTGTAAAATGATTGATAAAGTTGTAGTGTCCATAAGTGTTGGTTAATCTTTTCACTCCTGTTTACGGACAGAACATTTTTTATGGTTTATCATGTGTCTTTTCTCATTCCTGTTGCATTTTCTTCAGATATTTTCAGATAGTAAAAATGTTTTAGATGTAAACCAACATGGAAATCTATTATAATTAATTTCTCATATTATAGGCACAGAAGTTTGCTGGATTATTTTTTCCCTGATAGGCAACATCATCCATGTTTGCATCTTATCTTTGCAGGTCCGTTTTCTATTTGTATATCAGTGAAGTGGCTGTCCAGGTTTGTTTCACTAATTCCTTTTCTTTTCCTAAAAATATTGGTAGTCATTTGTAGAAAGTATTTATCACTCGAAAAGATAAATAAACGTAAATAAAGACTGTGATCAGCTTCTAGGTGCTGCAACTTCAAGTTCTAGATTGGATGATTTAGGCTGTTTGATGCCCAATTTAATCCAAATTTCATATTCTGCTGTCTTTCTTGAACTTGGACGTATTTTTTTTTCTTTTTTTTTTTTTTTT